TAAAAAGTAAAAAATAACAGTTAGTTATTGTTTAGTTTTATCTGTGATTGTAACTTTGACGCTCGTTTATTTCTATCTAGCCCCTAATAGACGTAGCGTGAATATATTATATCTTAGTTGAGCGAGCGTGTATGAAAAGATTAATGAGTGTGGAAGAAGCCAAAGAGGTTTCTTTGAATCGAAGCATTTGGCGTTCCATTGTTTCTGCCTTTTTTTTTATACCACTGAGGTGGCAAACAAGCATACGGCCCACCTGATGGTAAGTGGTTACCGTAGCCTATGAACGCCTGCAATACCAGAGGTATTACGCGCGCGTTTCCGACCCTAAAGAAACTTCTTTACCCCCCTTTGAAGAACCCCATGCTGTAGTCTCTACCATAATAGTAGACAGGCGTGACAGACATGTATGTATGTATGTATGTGTATATATATATATATAGATATGATCGGAAATGCTTGTTTTCATATAATATGATAAACTTATATTATCTATATAACCTTTTTATTATCTGTGACAAACAATTATTACTTAGAATTATATTTAGAATGTCAATGATATGCAATCTAAATAAATACACTCCGTTTAATATTGGATAATTTGAATAGATACGTGATATTAATACAAAAATAAATTTTGTTTTATATATTTCTACGTAGTATAAAACAGAGTTCTTTCTGGCCGTCTGTTCGCTTATATCATTTAAACTTATATTACAGAAGGAGACTTTGTACAAAAGTCGATTGCTTGGGTACCTCTGTCGCATTCGTGTTTCTACCGTGAAGCAGTTGTGTTTGCATGGCTGTGTTTCGGTTTAAAGGGTGGGATATGGGGTGAATTTACAGGGTACAGAGAAATAACACCTGAGTCCTCAGGAATAGCAACGCATGGGAGGTATCATGGGCGAAACAGTAAACTTTGTTATGTCCATGTTACTGCTCATGTCTATAGGCGACGGTTATCACTTTCCATCAGGTGGGCCGTCAGCTTGTTTGCCATTCTAAGTTGTAAAAAAGAAAAGTGTAAAACAGAGTTGTTTCTCACCGTCTGTACGCTTATATCTTTTGAACTTAGATTATGTAGATAGAGTGTCTCCATAGATATGCTTCCAGAGAGACGGGTCGATTTTTTTAATATAATTTTGCGTGCTAAATAGTTATGAGTGATTCCTTTTTAACTTCCATATTAATTTTGTTTTATAATTTCTGCATCTTTTTTAATGCGTAAACACTAATTTTATTTATTAATTAAAACGCCAAGATATATTATGTGTGTAAGTATATAGAACACTGATAAAAAAAAAAAACGAGTCAGCTAATTTGACAATTACTTGCCAAAGAGTTGACCCGTTTTTGAGACTCAATGCTTTATCTACATAATCTAAGCTTCTAAAGTATGCAACGGATTTTAATGCAGTTTTCGTCAATAGATATGAATGATTCAAGAGAAGGGTTTATATGTTTAGTTTAATTTTGTATTGTATTTATTTGTCGTAAAACTATATGCTAAATCTTTTCGTAATATGTATAAAAAAAAAAGAGGATGGACTCTGTAAAAGATAATATGGCCAGAATGGAAAGATACTGCTGCTGCTGGTACTGCTCATGTCTGTAGGCAACGGTTACCACTTTCCATCAGATGGGCCGTCAGCTTGTTTGCCATTCTAAGCTGTATAAAAAAAAATTATGGCGACCTCAAATAGTAATAGGAATAAGGGTAGGATGATGACGATGTTGACAATAATTGTTCATGAGTCAGCGCTAGTGGAAAAGGAGCCTGTTTTGCTTACTCTATTTAGTTAAATCCTAACTTAAAATGTAAGATGCTTTATATGCCGATTAACGCGGGCAATGCCGTGGGAAAAGGGCTAGTATTAAATAAGAAATACCTGCAAAGAAAATATGTGATATTTTCTACATTTTTAAATAAATATATTTACTAATATTATAAATTTGAATGTGAGTGTGTTAACTGTCTACTGAGGGCTGTGTTCAGCCCTCCCTTTGGAGGATTTTGAAGTTGCCACGCTTGGCAGACGGGTTAGTAACCGCAGTTAGGCTTAAAGATGGTAATGTTTAAAGAGGGATATTGCTGCCCATCTCTCCACTATGAAGTTCTCTTAATCGACATCTATGGGAAAAAAGGAGTGATCTATTCTATGCGGGAATTAAACGGCTAGTAATAACAATATAATATATTTACCAGATACCAGAGGGAGACTTTGTACAAAAGTCGATTGCTTGAGTACCTCTGTCCCATTCGTGTTTCTACCGTGAAACAGTTGTGTTTGCGTGACTGTGATTTGGTTTGAAGGGTGGGATACGGCGTGAATTTACAGGGTACAGAGGAATAACATCTGAGTCCTCAGGAATGGCAACGCATGGGGGGTATCATGGGCGAAACAGTATACTCTGTTATGCCCATGTTACTGTTCATGTTTATAGGTGGGCCATCAGCTTGTTTGCCATTCTAAGTTGTATAAAAAAATATATCTATTTTATTATTTATTTATTTAACTCTTTATTGCACCATAAATAAAAATATACAATGACAAGTGAATAATTCAAATGAAATACAGTAACATAAATACAGATTGAAATATACACATAAAGGTACAAAAGGCGGTCTTATCGCTAGGGCAATCTCTTACAGACAACCTTTAGTTAAGGGAGAACAGATAGAAGTGGGCAGTTGGCGCAAGAGTGAATCAACAATTTTCGTGCACAAAATACAAAAACATGTAATGCACAAAAATATCAAATACATATAATTTATTAAACTACTTACTATAACAATATATATACATACATACATACACATACATATATATATATACATACATATACACATATAACATACATACAAAATACATAAACATACACATATAAATACATACATATAATATCTTCCCATGTTGTCCCGGCATAGAATAGGCCACAGCTTCGTTTTTAAAACATCACCAAAGTCTAACTGCGGTTGCTAATTCGCCAGCCAAGCGTGGCATCCTCTTGCTGCCTATCCCTCTATAATTAAGCTTCCTTAGTCGCCACTTACGACACACATGGGAAAGGAAGGAGTGGCTTATTGGATGCTGGGACCACACAGCGAATTACAATACTATATTCGTACTTATTTCTAGTAGTAAATATATGAAAAGGCATGCCTGAGTCACCTATAGGTAGCTAACCTTTCTGTTACAAAACTTGATAAAATGGCGCGTAGTATTATGATAAATATTTCGCTGTGCGTAAGTATGAAAATACATTAACAGATAAGACAACAGCCGTCTGTTTGTACGTACGTCATATTACGCGGCTCCACGCCAATAATAGCATATTTACTAATATTATAAATTTTAATTTTTTTTTTTAATTTATTTCTAACTTGCTAACATTTTCTTTTATTCAACTTAGAATGCCAAACAAGCTGACGGCGCACCTGATGTAAAGTGGTAACCGTCGCCTATAGACATGAGCAGTACCACGGACATAAAAGAGTATACTGTTTCGCCCATGCGTTGCCATTTCTTAGAACTCGAGTGTTATTCCTCTGTACCCTGTAAATTCACTGCCATATCCCACTCTTCAAACCGAAACACAACCATCCAAATACGACTGCTCCACGGTAGAAACACGAATGGGACAGAGGTGCCCAAGCAAATGACTTTTGTACAAAGTCTCCCTCTGGTATTATTATCATCGTCATATCAGCCTATTTAGCAATGAACAGCTAACTGTCCACTGATGAACGTAAGGAGTTTTTGCCAGTAATTGTCTCGCTAGATAGGTTGGTTGGCAACCGCAGTTAGGCTTTGGACATGTTTTAAGAGGGACGCTGCTGTCCATCCCTCGCCCTCCCTTTATCGCCTCTTACGACATTCACGGGAGAGGAAGGGGTGGCCTATTCTATGCTGGGACCACACTACTAATAATATTAATCATCTTCATCAACATTTCAGCTATTATCCGTCCACTGCTGGACATAGGTCTCCACCATAGACTACCATAAAATAATACCAATATAATGTATTTACAAGTATATAATGTCTTCTTGTGTGGTCCCGGCATTGAATAGGCCACCCCTTCCTATCCAGGGGGAGAGGGGATTGGTAGTAATGGTAATTAACAATCTCATCGCTAGCAATATACCCTATTAGGTCGACCTCCACGCGGTTCCTCCTGGAAACTATTGTGATTGATTTATTGTTAGTCTCGATAGGCCAACTGACCTGCTTCATCCTTACCTATCATCCCTCACTGGTGCCTCGCCAGCGTATACCGTTAGCGCAGGCGGGATTACCATTCCATTATCATCCATTAAAAAAAAATCCCTTCATTTCCCGTGAGAAGTTGCTGGACGAGGGATGGGCAATAACGTTCCTTTTAAAATATCATCAAAGTCTAATTGAGGTTACCAACTGCCTGCCAAATGTAGCAACTACTGGCAAATCCCCCCAAAGGGAGGCCCATGTTCAATAGTAGACAGCACGGTTGATATCAACATATCGTCATAGTCGTAGAATACTGACGGATCTGACAAACATTACATATATAGATCCGTCAGTATTCTACGACTATGACGATATACGGTAAGGTAAAAACTCGAGTGAGAATCAAGTGAGTTTATACAGTAAATTTATATGAAAACCCTATCAGTACAACGCGCCTATATCAACTAATATAATGAAAGTGCATCACACTAATACTTGGAATGGTCGGTTAATACGTGTGGTCGCTGTTATTCGTACCAATGTGTTTTACGTTTAGTACTACACTAAACTGGCCTACGAACGGACAAACGTGTCTACACAAACACTTATATTTATGTAAACAGTATTAGATTAATGCAAACATTATGTGAAGTGAAGTGCCGGTATATGCGTAAATAGTGCTTTTACTTGTAAAGATATTTATTTAAAATTACGATAAAGTTATTAATTAAAATTGTTATATTATTTTTGTCATTATTAACAATAAATATTAAATATTTGAATAAATATATAAGGAGTATTAATTATTAAAAAAAATCGCGTCTAATTATAAATAAAATAAAACAAACTCATGTAAATTTATAAACAATTATAATTAGTAATCGTGTTTTAAATTAAACAAGTCGCTACTGATTGAAGTGTTTTAATAATAAATTATACATTAAATGCTTAAAATTCTAATAGTGTGGTGTCAAAGTCGTGACGTTTATTTAATAAAGAGTATTTTTAAAGTTATCAATTTAAAATAAAATAAAATAAAACACAACGAACTGGCATAAATTTGTGAAAATTTTAATAAAATTTTATACAATTTTAATTTATAAAACATCGAAATGTACACGAAAAATATGCTTTATTATAAACTGGTTTCCCCGATACCTTTGCAAATAATTCTGAGGTGACGTCATGGCTTGGACCAAGGAATTAGATGAGGCTGCTATACTGGCCACCAAAAGAGGCTGGTGGCATATTCTCCTCTTTTATTTGCTGTGCGGATTGGCTGGAATACCGACGTCATTTTTAATTTTCTCACAGGTATTTTATGATTATATAAGCTACACCATATTCTATATATCTAATCTAAGGATGCTAAATTAATAGTATATAGAAAAAAGTCAGGTTACATGTATATTTCCATAACTAATAACGCAACTTTTAAAATATTTGTAGTCTAGTGTTATTTAATCCCTTAAAATTGTTTACTTCATTTCATACTGTATGATTATGTTAAAGTAAATGCTGTGAATACCTTTAATACGGATGTGCATTAATATTGTATCGTATTTAATGTTTGTTACATGTGTTATAATGCAATATGTCGTTGGTGTTCCTTTAAATAAATAAATAAAGTAATAATTTTTTCACATATACGAATACATAGCTAGATTACTAACGAGCAATAGAACTTTATTTTATTTTCAAAGTAATTTAAAAAAGAAATCTTCACGTGAAGTGAGGACTGGCAATTATGAATTTATATGTTTTTCAGTCCTCGAGAATGGCTACTCTTTGGATAATATGAGTGTGATATTGCTCACAACTTAGATTACATGTTTATTTTTGTTATTTACTTAAATTTCTTACACTGTATAATTATGTTAAAGTGAATGCTGTGAATACCTATAATAGGCATGTGCATTAATATTAAGTATTGTATTTAATGTTGTTATACCTATATGTTATAATGCAATATGCTGTTGGTGTTCCTTAAATAAATAAATAAATAAATGATAGTAATAGAAATAGAAGACAGCTTTCAAAACTTCCCTGCATGACTAATTGTGTTATTTTGCCTCCTATTTATTTTGCCTAACCGCATAAAGGCCTCCCATCTTTCCTTTTCCGAACTTACTAAACACAGAAGTATAACAGTGTCAGGCAAGAATGGTCGGCATAATACTGTTTGTCTGGGAGGAAAGGGATTGCTAGCAATGGAGTTTGACAGCACCATTGCTAGCAATATGCCTTATTAGGTCGACCTCCACGTGGTTCCCCCTGGAAACCATCGAGTACAATTCTTGTTGAATTCGTCACGAGTGGCTAACTGAGCTACTTCATCCAAACCTATCATTCTTCACTGATGCCCCGCCGGTGTATACCGATAGCGCGGGTGGGGTTACCTACCATTCCATTATCATTCATTAAAAAAAATACAGTTTGTCTGTGATGCTGTTCATTTCTATAAATGATAGTTAAATTTTTTTCTCAGATGGACCATCAACTTGTTTTTTTCTTTTTTATAAAATATGAAATGTCATTTTATATTTGTATAAAAAAAAGTAGAATAAAAAACATAAGAAGTTTTTTTCTTGTAATAGAGTTGTAGAAGGTACCAGGGACACATAGCTTGTAGATAGATGTAATAACGACGATAGTATTATAATCTTGGAGCATCGATATAACTGGGAGTACCTGTCTTTATCGTGGACGTTGATGTTACAAATTTGATTGTGCTCTGCTATTATTTATTACTAGACAAATTCTAGCTAGCATTAACTACAACTGGAGGTTGAAGTCGTTATGGTTAGAAAGAGAGCTAGGGAGCCACTAGGAAATGTCTATCTAAATAAATTCGTGTATGTAATAAAGTTAAATAGTTAAATATTAATGAACATAACCCATTGCTTAAAATTAGAAAATAGTTTTATATATATATATATATATATATATATATATATATATATATATATATATATATATATATATATATATATATATATATATTAATATAAATTAATTTGCTCAAATTCAAATTTGTATTCTGTAAAATTACGTTGGCAATAATATTTTAGTAAAAATATTATCAATCATCTCTAGTAAATAGTTCTCCATCATATTTTTGCTCAAAGTATGGCCCAAAGCACATTATGTATACACATATAAGATGCAATAAGAAAGTTCATTGAAGATATTTTTTTTATCAAGAATAACGTCAGGCCAATCATACAAATTCATGATATCGAGAAATTAAAAACACATACAGTTGAATGCATTTTACTATCCTACTATATGAGTTTGCGATGTATTTGAGGTTATCTCTTCATTTTGTGAAGGGTCAGTTTACACTGCATTTGTCTATTCAAGGTCGCCTTTAAACCTTTACATAACTATTCTAGGTGTTCACCAATGCATCGCCAGAACACTGGTGTGCTCCTCCCCAAGAATTAGAGGCTCTAGAGCTACCAGGTGACCTACTTCGATCTCTCACTGTACCAAGGCAGCATGACGTCTACGAAGGTTGCAGAGCGTATAGTGTCGACACACAGGCGTTGTACGAGGCGCTCAGTGACTATGTGCATGAAAGGTAACTACGTTTCTAACATTAAGTTATTTAAGAGTCGGCACTGCTTTTATATCAATGAAAATCCAAAAAGAATTTATGCAACCACCAAGAGGTATAAACACAATAAAACAAATGAGTATTCGTAGTGTTGAACACCTATTTACAACAATACGCCTTTATCAAAAATATCGGTATAGACAGGTATAATATAAGACTTGGTTTTTATAATGTACAATTTTCATATTAAATGAACTGGTTACATAGATTTGACGCAAACTTTTTCTGATCGAAGTGGCGTGGGTTTAAACTGTAACGTAATTTCTACAACGATATTTGGGTGTATATGTTACAACTATAGAAACGATGAAAAAAAAATTTTAATTTCTACAATAATTTTAGTCGCCCTTTAATTTTTGATATAAATTTTTTTTACCTAACATTGCGTATAGAGAAAAAAAAAAATACACAACTTGCTGTTTTTCTAACGTATCTCGTTATCGTTTATCCTGTCATTATCCTCAAGTGTGGACATAATATTTACTGAGATATTAGCCAATAGATAAAATAAGACACTATAGAATAAATAAACTTTTTAATAACATATTTTCTTAGAATCTTAGTAGAATATGTTATTTAAATAGTATTTTTACACGGAATAACAGACAAACAGAAGGGTCACATGTTGGATAATTATATATAAACATAAACAATAGGCGCTACAGACATCACAGTATATACTGTGCCGCCTTGTACCAAGTATTGCACAATATTTTTTTTTTATCTATAGTGGACTATATTCATCGGTCATAACAATAAGATGATAATGTAAATAAATTTGAATTTTTTTTTTATTTTTTTTTTTATTTCTGTTTATTCTACGAAGATCAACTATTTATAATCGTTTATACGTATTATCATAAATATTTGAAAAAAAAAGCATTTTCCATTCCGACTCAACATTTAGAAAATCTATACAATATTGTCATCTCCTGTATATTTCTGCTCTCCTAGTACTTTACTGTAAATACTTGTAAACTTCTATTTTTTATTTACAATGTTTTGGTGATGAGAGGGGGGGGGGCACTGGAAGATTGTTAGTGATGGACAGGTTAATTCTTATACACCATGTTTTTTTAATGGGTGATAACGGTAATCCTATCCGCCTGCGCTATTGATATAACGAGAGACCAGTGATCGATGATAGGTACGCATGAAGTCATATCAGCTGGCCCATCGCAATGTTTTTGACAATAATTAATCACGACGGTTTCCAGGCGGAACCTGAAGGAAGTCGATTTGATAGGGTTTTCCTATGGGGATTTCCGTCCCCATTACTAACAAACCTTTCCCTCATACACCATTTTAGGTCAAACTCCAATCCACTGTACATTATCATTACTAATTCCTAACTAATCTACCATGATATATGGTATTGTGTACCAATGCTTAATTTGGTGCATCAATTCATTTTCAACAGACGTCACAGAGGTTCCCAATTCGGTCGTATTATTTTATATTTCATTCTTCTTCTCTCTTTCTCTCTTCATAACTCCATCAGTTGCAAATTCTTATTTTATTTGAAAGGATATACTTATAGATTGGTTCTATATACATTTTAATAAAACCGGTTTATTACTTTACTTTTTAAGCCAATACAACTGGTTTTGTCCCAAATGAAATGAGTTTTTTTTGTAGGTCATAATTTTTAATTTTTGTCAATAAAAATGCCATTTCATACATTTTGTCCCATACATTTTCAGTACAAGATATGTGTACGAAGGTGGCGGTATGCGGATGGTCACAATCCGTCAATTGTTGCCAGCTGAAGGCGAAGAGAAACGAAAAAAACAAGTAAGTCATAGTGGTCATAATATCCCATGTTTGTTAACTAGGTTACAAAAGTCAAAAGAAAAAAAACACTTTGTACAAAAGTCGTCTGCTTGGGTACCTCTGCCCTATTCGTGTTTCAACCGTAAAGCAGTTGTGTTTGCATGGCTGTGTTTCGGTTTAAAGGGTAGGATATGGCGTAAATTTACAGGGTACAGAGGAATAACAGCTGAGTCCTAAGGAATGGCAACGCATGGGGGGTGTCATGGGCGAAACAGTATATTCTGTTATGTCCATGGTATTGTTCATGTCTATAGGCGACGGTTACCATTTTCTATCAGGTAGGCCGTCAGCTTGTTTGACTTTTTAAGTTGTATAAAAAAAACTGTCGGTAAGTGATAGACCTAGCTGCGAAGAGGGACGTCTGAAAGATTTTTGAGTAGCGGCCAAAGCAAACACAGTGTAGGGCAATCTCTCACTAGATGGAGTGACGACTTTAAATGCATTGCAGGGAGTCAGTGGATGCCAGGTGACTCAGGACTATTCCTTATGATATTCTATGAGGAAGATATAATGGCGAATATGGTATAAAATGTAATCGAAAGTACAATAGTTTTAACTCTATTCTCTTTTAAATTTGTAATTTAAAAGCCAACTGAAATTTGAGAAAACGGATATTCGAATTGATTCTAATTTCGACAGGGAGTTCATCCTCATATCCTACAGCCTAAATGGTCGCGTACAACGCGCTTTCAGAGATGTTGTCTCCCACGAACATTCAGGTTATGGAATGAGCTCCCAGCCGAGGTTTTCCCAAGAGACTACAGCATGGGGTTCTTCAAAAGGGGGATAAAGAGGTTTCTTCAGGGTCGGTAACGCGCGCGTAATACCCCTGCTAATGCAGGCGTTTATAGGCTACGGTAACCACTTACCAACAGGTGGGCCATGTGCTTCGATTGTCACGTCAGTGGTATAAAAAAATTTAATATATATAATTAAGCAAAATGTTATTTTTTATAGATAACAGAAATAGAAGAAGCAATTCTAGCATTAAGAAGTGAGAATTCTACTGCCTGCATCAATGGCTGGCGTTACAGTACAGAACATTATGAGAGGACCTTAGTCACTGAGGTATTTTACATATTTAATCCCTAATTTCTTCCCTAAATACGGGTACGTGCTCTTGGAGACCATAGCTATCACTATCGAATCCTGTGTCCTACCACAAAGTGACAACCTATCCTCTAAACTCCTTTGAAAATCCTCCCAAAAATTCCAGTCGCCAAACTGCTTGTCTTAGTTACGCTTCTATAAGCGTAAACTCTCCAATGAAAAGAATCTACAATGTGTGCATCCCCAGTAGAAAGTGGAGGATCGAACATGTTTGTAGCTACTGGGGAAGTCCTATATCCAGCAGTTGAAGTGATGAAGATGACGACTCTCTTATTTAATTTAAACGCATCTACAAATATTTACAAAGCCGTCAACGTAGTGGCAACACCTCTAGTGTTACTTGTTTTCCGTGGGCAACGTTAGCCACTTTTATCAGGTGGAGCGTCTACATGTCTGCTTTCAAAACTTGAGAAGTTTTTTTTAATTACCCTGTATTTTTTCTGTATGTATATATTCTGAACCGACTTGTTAATTTATTTTGCAATTAGTACTGTTTACTCTCAAACTGGTCCTATAATGATTTAAAGCTCGAAATCCCACTATAATTCCGCGTATATAAAACATTTTAATCGAATCGGTTTCAATGAAAATAGGAAAAATATAACAAAATGCAACCGGTTTTCTTCTATCTACTTCTAGATGGCGTTTTAAATAGAAAACATATACCGGATTGTAAATCAGATCTGCAAGAATACAACTGTGAAAATCGCATCCAAATTGGCGTATAAAAATATTTTGGTTTCTGTTTGTCTTATTCATATAAATATTTCTTATATAATATCTCTTAAATGTATACAAACATCGTCTAGTTATTATTTTATTGTACATATTAGTAAGATTGACATTTATTTTACAGTTTTCCCTGTTTTGTGACAAAGACTGGTTACCAAGAACAGCCAATACACTTTTCTGGGTCGGATCTATATTTGGAAATCTCTTCTTTGGATGGATGTCTGATAGGTATGTGATTTTTTTTCATAAAAGATTATAGTGAAATATAAAAATGTAATTATGTTTTCAAACAAGCTGACTGCTTACTGGATGGCAAGTGACAGCCGTGTCGCTTATAGACATTTTAGAATGCGTCCTGAGCCTTATGGCATTTTTTACTGCCATTTTTTGCATTATTTATATATCTAATTAATTATCAAATTAATTCAATTAGATTATGGATTTAATTGTGGATAATATTAGTAAAAACATATTTTAAACTTATTAATATTAAATAAAATTATGGATTTAATAAACTGAATTAATATTTAATTATTATACATTTCTAAAAAAAATTTTAAAATTATTTGATTAATTATATTAAAATACTTTTCAGGTATGGTCGTCGCCCTACAATATTGCTGATGATCCTTCTAGAAGTCCCTTTGACGATTGCAGCATCTTTTCCCACTTCGTATTGGAGTTATGTAGCTGTAAGGGTTGTCAGTGGATTGTTTTTCCCAGCACTGTATCAGCTTCCATTTGTACTAGCCCTGGAACTTATGCCACCGCCAAGAAGAACTTATACTGGTAAGGTAGATGAGACTCTGTTGCTGAACTGTTTGAATTACCACATAATAATCCACGTATTTAAATTCTTATAATTTAAATACGTAACTTAGAACATTATGAGAATCAAAACGTATTTTAATACTTTTTTTTTGAGAATATTTCATTTATATTTTAACTTATTAATTTTGACACAATAGAAGTAGCAATTTTTTTTAACAGGAAGAAGGTTCTCAGTTCAGTTGTATTTTTTTGTTATGTTTGTTGCCTCATAAATTCGTTAGTTCTAAACCGATTTATATATATTTTTTTAACTTAAAGGAAATAGTTACAAATGAATCCTATAAAAACTTTAACAAAATTCGTTTAGTAGTTTCATTTTTAAATCAGAATAACTGGTTTTATTGCAACTAAAGCGGTTTTTTATTAAATAATCTTCAATTCGCCGTGTGGTCCCGGCATAGAATAGGCCACCCCTTCCTTTCCCGTAGGTGTCGTAAGAGGCGAATAAGGAAGGGCGAAGGATGGCCAGCAAATTCCCTCTTAAAACATCTCTAAAAGCCTAACTGCGGTTGCAAACCCGCCTGCCAAGCGTGGCAACTACTGGCAAAACTCCTCTTACAGGGAAGGCTTATGTCCATCAGTGGACAGTCAACGGCTGAAATAATAATAAAAAAAATCTTTCATTATTCTTTAGACCAGTAATTGTATACTTACTGATTGTTTCAGGTATCGTCGTTGGAATGCTGTTTGCTAGCGGCATGTGCTTATTATCTTTACTAGCGTATATATTTAGAGACTGGTTCTACTTATCACTCGCTACTAGTTTACCTTTTATCATTTTATATGGGTAAGTTACACTATTGTTTTTTTATTATTTTATTATTTCAGCCCTTAACTGTCCACTGTTAACTTTTTTTTATACAACTTAGAATGGCAAACAAGCTGACGGCCCATCTGATGGAAAGTGGTAACCGTTGCCTATAGACATGAGCAGTACCATGGACATAACAGAGTATACTGTTTCGCCCATGATACTCCCCATGCGTTGCCATTCCTGAGGACTCAGGTGTTATTCTTCCGTACCCAGTAAATTAACGCCATATCCCACCCTTCAAACCGAAACACAGCCATGCAAACATAACTGCTTTACGGTTGAAACACGAATGGGGCAGAGGTACCCAAGCATTCGACTTTTATACAAAGTCTTCCTCTGGTAAACTGTTGAACACAAGCCTTCCCCATAAGGGGAGTTTTGCCAGTAGTTGCCACGCTTTGAAGGCGGGTTGGCAACCGCAGTTAGGCTTTTACAGATGTTTTAAGAGGGACGCTGCTGCCCATCCCTCCAACATAAGCTCTTTTAGTCGCTTCTTACGACATCCACGGGAAAGGAATGAAATAAAGAATGTGTTATCGTTAGATGGATACATTGCTTTTAATTTCTTTTAATTATTTTTCTGTATCGTTATCCAAAAGAATACTTTGCAATCGTAAAGTATTAATCTTTATGTAAAAGAAAATTAATTCATAGTTAATGGTATTTCATTGCCAAGAAAGGAGAAGCCCATTCTATGGTAGGACTAACTGGCATTCTTTTCCGTGTGTCTCGTAAGAGGCGACGAAGTGAACTTAAAGGTTGAGAGATAAGCAGTAGTGTTCTTCTTAAAACATCACCGAAGCTTAACTGCGGTTGCCAACTCGCCTGTCAAGCGTGGCATCTACTTGCAAAACTCCCTTTATGGGATCTCTGTTCATTAGTGGTAACCGAACCGATGTAAATAACCTATTAATTAACATATAAGTAAACGCTTTATAACTCTATTGTGTAACGCTTTATAAATCTTTTTACATTTTTAGTTACTATTGGCTTATACCAGAATCTCCAAGATGGCTCGTAGGTAGAGGTCGAATAGCAGAAGCGGAGAAAGTATTAAAGGATCTTGCTAGAAAAAACGGTATAACGCTGCACCGAGGTTTCCTCATAGAAATACATGTAAGTTTTCATAAATAGGGAGACAGTAATAATATATATAGGTAGTGTAGTAAGTTTTGGAGTATAGTGAGTCTTGAAAAAAAGTACAGAGACTAATTCATGGGCTCAAACCTATTTCTGGTAAAATGACGAATTTTTAATTTCTGGCGCGTAGTTTCTTTGATTGATGTGCAGTTTACGTATTGATTCCCAGCAAAGATTTGCTAAAATTAAACTCAATTGTAAACAAAAAACTATTAGTTAATTTTTTTATATTGAATGTTTAATCAAAACAAGAAGGTCAAGTTTTAGTAAACAAAAATCTTTAAATTGATACATTTTATGTTTGTTTTTATGATAAATCATTTACAGAAATAGTTTCAAATGCCTAATATTATTTCATTAATATATTTAAATTATTTTTATTTAAAGAAAAATATGAAAATGTATTTAATATGAAAAAAATATCAGTTATATTATGTATTATAAAAATTGAATTTTTTTCAGAAAAGAATAAAAGCAGAGGAGAGTGCGGAAGCAGAACTTACAATTAGTTCCAATGCAAATGGGTATATAGGAAATTATCAAGATAATCCAGACAAAGATGAATACATAGACAGAAGAATTAGTAATATGCTTACATTCAGACCAGACTTTACTAGGATTTCAGAAGCAGAGCTAAGTATTAAAGGAGACAATATAGAGAGAATGATTGCTCTTGAAGTTGCAGAAATAGTAAATAAAAAAGCAAAATTAAAAAGTAGAGTAAGTGTTAAGGACGATGAATTGAAAAATGAAAATATAAATGAAGAATCTCAATTAAATTCTGAATTACAACAGAAGTCCACACAGACTGATGCGTATACAAAATCTCCAGCAAGTACACTAAGAAGAAAATCAATACAGCTCATGAATAAAATTCTCACTAAAGATACTGTAGAGGAAGATATTATAGAAAACAAACGAATGGATGAACAGAATTCCGAGGGTGATTGCAAAGCGTCACTGTTCGATATTTTTAGATATCCTAATATTAGAAAAAAGTTTTTCATACTGACATTCAATTGGGTTGTTTTGGGTGTTGTTTATAATAGTTTAAGCTACAATACCCCTAATTTAGGTGTGGACGATTATTTAGCGTTTTTTATAGGTCAGTATTTTTATTTAAAATTAAAAAATCTAATTCTTATCAAAGAAATATGTTGATGTTCAGAGATATATATCTTGGCGTGAATTTACTGGGTACAGAGGAATAACACCTGAGTCCTCAGGAATGGCAACGCATGGGGGGTATCATGGGCGAAACAGTATACTCTGTTATCTACATGGTACTGCTCATATCTATAGGCGACGGTTACCACTTTCCATCAGGTGGACCGTCAGCTTGTTTGCAATTCTAAATTGTATAAAAAAAAAAATATTCAAAATTCCGTTAAATTTCATTAGTAAATTCAGCCCCTTTTGTTTGTTCTGGGAAATATCTTATGTGAAATGAATATTTGTCATCTGAACTACAAACAGCTGAATGCTTTTCAACTAAAACTGATACCTACATGATTCATACGTTGGAAACCTGATTTTTGCAGATAAAGTTGCAAATCATAGCTATTAATGAATAATATTTTACATTTTAGGTGGAGCTGTAGAGTTGCCTTCATATTTCATTGCGTGGGGCTGTATGGAACGATTTGGGAGACGATGGGTTCTCTGTATCTTTATGAGTGTAGGCGGTGTGGCTTGTCTTAGCTGTGGTTTGGTTCCTGAAGGTTAGTATTATTTTATTTGATCATTAACAAAGTTATTGAAAAAATAAATCTTTGAATAAAAATATAAAACAATAATTATATGAACAAGGACTTAAAAATGACAAATAAAAAAAATTAACAGTTATTTTACAGAAATACGGAATATTGATATGGAAACATCAAAGTTATAATATGTCTTATTACAGTACATTTTTCTTTTTTTAATGCTTTAATTTAATTTTTTCATTAGAGGTTTATTAGACAATTATTTTTTTTTTTAATTCCACATTCTAAATAAGATATTTTTTATTCATATACTTAGATGTGAAAGAGATTATTTAGAAGTATTAATAAAAGGATGGCATTCCAATAAATTGTTGTAATTAATTCTTGGCAAATGTGTCACGATGAGTCTACTGATCTTGCTTAATCTTCACCTGTTATAATTTCCTAGTTCTGTCAGTAGAAATCTACACCGTGGGTGGAGTTTTTATTTTATTCTCGTAAAAAAAACTAGTTAGAAAATTAGCTCAAATGTGAGCAATAGGACACATCTTAATCCTCAGGAATAGCTACGCATGTGATATACATATCAAGAGTATCACAGTATAATATGGTATTGTTTATGTCTGTAGGCGACGGTTACCATATTCCACCAGATGGACCGTAATATTCTTTACTATTAGTAATATAAAAATGAAACCTTTTAATTTTAGCAAACTCTGATTAAAATTTTGTTTTCAGCATGGCCTTGGGTAACAGTCACGCTGGCTATGCTGGGTCGGCTATGCATAGCGGCATCTTTCGCTGTATTTTACGTTCAGATTGGGGAGCTTCTACCTACTGTCTTAAGATCACAGGCTATGGGAGCTGCGTCGTTTATAGCAGGACTAGGCTTATTGGCTTGTCCATATATTGTATATTTGGTACGTTAATAATTTTTCTCAAATATGCTTTGAAATGTGAGCATTATTTTGACAGTTTTTTTAGAGATAAATCAAAATTGCCGTACTGGCTAGATACATGCGGGCAACGGCCGGCAAAAGTTGTATGAAAATCCATATCTGTCGTGTTTTGCGGCCAGATAAATTACTATGTTAACTCATATCTGTACTGTAATTTAAAAATAGAATGACCTTTTACTTCGAAACATGGCTACTACCAAGGAGGTAACTAATAAAAGGTTTTATTTTAAATTTCGAACTGGCTTGCAAATAGAAAGCTGTTTATTAAAAAAAAAAACATAATAACATTATGGGGCGTGAAAAATTATTATTGTTCGTAATTCGTCATTGAATTTAAAAAGTAAAATTGTGTTTTTGATTTCCACGCATTATTTGAGAAACGTTCGTTCATCAATGCTTCAGTTGCTGGCCGCTGCAGTAATGTACTATAATTTTAACTATTTGACAATTATATATATAATTGTCAAATAGTATAATATACATATTATATACACATCATGCATTCCCTGCATAGAATGAGCCACCCCTTCTTTTCCCGTGGGTGTCGTAAGTGGCAACTAAGGGAACTTAATGTTCGAGAGAGGGGTAGCAGCGGTCCTCTTAAAACATAATTAAAACCTAGGTAAATTCGGTTAGCAACCTGCCTGCCAAGCATGGTAACTATTACAAACTCCCTATTATGGGGAAGACCTATGTTCAGCTGTGGACAGTCAATGGCCGATATGGTATAGTGTGATATTATATTATTCGTATTTGTAATTTACATAAATTAATAATTCTTTTTCCAGTCTGTATACGCTCGAGCTCTGCCGCTTATTCTAATGGGAGTGCTCAGCGTGATTGGAGGGATCACATCGCTCTTTCTACCAGAAACCTTGAATCAGCCGCTGCCGCAAACGTTAGGCGACGGCGAAATATTTGGAAGGAATTTTAAATTGTTGAGTTGTGTGCAACCGGCTACCGTTGTTTAGATTTTAACATTAAATAAAATGAATTTATTTTGATAGAATGTACGTAGTTTTAGATGAAAGAGGTATACATTTCCCGCATACATTCTGCCTCTATGTCGACGTGCATAACAACATGAGAATGTGCCTTACATTATTTGTATAAATCAGACCACATTTACTAGAGGGAGACTTTGTACAAAAGTCGTTTGCTTGGGCACCTCTGTACCATTCGTGTTTCTACCGTGAAGCAGTTGTGTTTGCATAGCTGTGTTTTGGTTTGAGAGGTAGTATATGGCAGTGAATTTACTGGGTACAGAGGAATAATATCCGAGTCTTCAGGAATGGCAACGCATGGGGGGTATCATGGGCGAAACAGTATACTCTGTTATGTCCATGGTACTGCTCATGTCTATAGGCGACGATTATTACTTTCTATCATGTGGGCCATTAGCTTGTTTGCCATTTTAAGTTAACATAAAAAAAAAAATATTGCATAAGAATAGATATCATCCTTTTAAGAGAATGCTCTACCAGTGGAATTGACTCCTAAAAATAATGAGGCAATAAGCAACAAAAAAATTAGGGATTGATAATTGCATTTGATGTGTATTATTTATTAATAGAATACATTTTGAATATCATAAAATAAAAAAAAAGTCAAATCTTTTGTTGTGTTTTCAACTGAATTCAAAATGAAGGGGATTCTCAATTCAAATATATTTTTGTTTGTGTTTGTTACCTCATAACTCCGTCAGTTCTAAAACGGTTTTTATCTGAGAGGATATAGCTACAAATCAGTCCCGCAGCAATTTTATCAAAATCGGTTTAGTATTTTAGTTTTTAGATTACAATAACTGGTTTTGTCACATTTGAAGTCGGTATTTTTTGTGAGACACGATCTTGAATTTATCTTTGTAGATACAAATTAATAAAAATATACAGTAATAATTAATGCACTTGAAAAATATGACGATCCTAATGTCTTATATGACATAAAAATATAAGAAATAAATGAATAAAACACTTGTCTGTATTACGAAACGACGTGTATTATGTATGTAAATAACTTTTAATTAAAGAAAATAATTAATGTATTCGATAAATAAATGTTTTATACATAACTTCTTTTATTCCTTTTATATACAGGTGATTTGAAAAAAAAAAATCAAATATTCCGTATGTATCTACGTCTATTTCACTAATTTACAGATAACTATTCCGATGCCATCATCTCTGTATTCAGACATGGATTGCTTCTTAAAATTATTACATCTAACTAATTATAAAAGAGCTAATTTTTGGGAAAGAATTAATATTGTACATTTACACAATATTATATAAAGTAATTGCCAATATATTTACCATTCGCACTAATTTACTATGATTATCTGTATATGATTTTCTTTGTTTTATGAGAATATATATATATATATATATATATATATATATATATATATATATATATATATATATATGAAAAAACACAAGTAATTAATTAGTTTTTCAAAAAAGAAATTAAACAGAAAATTCTAATATAATAATAATAAATAATAGTACCAATGCTTTAAAATATAAGTATAGAATTTTACAACAATATTTAATTTTTAATGTTGTAAACAATGTTTTCCTCTAAAACTAGAACTAAAATATAAAATAATTACCATTTATGTAGTTATTTGTGTATAAAAAAAATTAGAACAATGACAAAAAACTTTCAAGAACAGAATTTTTATTTTTAAACCTATACTTTGTCTTTTTTTTCAATATCCTCTACTCAAAGATTGTCTGGAAGAGAGTTAGCTTTTATATAAATTCTCATAAAAGTTTACTGTATTTTTTATTTTTATAAACGGTACAATAAAGTGCAAATAAGTAAATAATGATACTATCAAATTTTTAACCATTGATCTGAAATAAGGAATTCTAAATGGTAGTAAAACTAATAAAATTATTAGGTGTTATCTTTCATGTAAGAAATACCATAAGGTTTATCTTATATCAAATAAAAATTTTATCTGGTGAAGTAAAACAAAAACCTACTCTTGTTTACAAATTATTTTATATACAGAAACTTTTACGTGTGAGTTCAACACATCCACGACTGGTACCTGTTATTTAAATCTTGTAAGTGACTAAAAGCAGAAACCTTGGATAATATGGAATAAAACTTATTATGCCGACCCCAGAGTGGGATATCGAGTAATTGGTATTTATATTTTTTTCTCACCATGGACATAACTAATAAAACTTCTCAAGTCTAGAATTATAATTTTTTATCACTAGTTTTACTACCAATGCACAATTATTTATTTAAATAACTTTATTGACCAAAACAAAACAAGGTAAAAAAGGCGGACTTAACGGTAGTAGCATTATCTACCAATCAACCTTTGGGATGAACAGAGAATCACGAACGGTACTTCATTAGTGGGACAGGTAAAGAAAATAACAACTAATAATACAGACCTAAACAAAATAAATAATATATATATAAGAATATAAAAGAATATGCATATTACAACTAAATAGATATATAAAATATAAAAAATATAAATTTAATTATATATTACTAATATATAATTAAATAAAATATAAAAGATGATAATCAAGCAATGAGTTCATAAAGACTCTTCTTTCGAACATGAATCTATTTGGAAGTTCTCGGATACCTTGAGGCAGTGCATTCCAGAGTCGTCAAACTTGGATGGTGAAGGAATCGATAGATATTAATTATCTATTATTATTAAATTTTATCTACATTTGACTGACAAAACTGTAGTAATACAATCGTATAAGAGGCGAGAACATATAGCAGTTCAAACGGTAACTTCGAATCGACGACTAAAACACCGCACGCTCTTAGTTTGCAAAACACTGATCGACTGAATCTTCGGACGTTTTTACATATACTTCTCAAATCCTCTGAAAAATATAAAATAAATTGTTACTTAATATATTTAGATTTTTCTTTATAACATTCAGTATGGTAAACCAGCTGATTGATCACTGGTGGATTTTTGGAGTTTTTTTATGATCCTTAGAATGGTAAACTGATGGCCTTAACGGCTGATATGATGGTGATAGTAATTATTTATCACTGGTTTTCCTTTACAATGTACAGACATCGCTTACTTACAATTTTATTATATATATAGATCATGATCTTATTAACATTTTTTTTTATACAACTTAAAATGACAAACAAGTTGACGGCCCACCTGATGGAAAGTGGTAACCGTCGCCTATAGACATGAGCAGTACCATGGACATAATAGAGTATACTGTTTCACCCATGATACCCCCCATGCGTTGCCATTCCTGAGGATGCAGATGTTATTCCTTTGTACTCTGTAAATTCACGCCATATCCCACCCTTCAAACCGAAACACAGCCATACTAACACAACTGCTTCTCGGCAGAAACACGAATGGGATAGAGGTACAAAGTATAAAGTCTCCCTCTGGTGATTTATAAAAATATTTGTTAATCAATCACATTTAAATGTCTTGAATGAAATTTGGTACACGTGTAGAATATATCTAAATAGCGTATATACTATATAATGTATATATATATATTATAAAGTATGAGATATATATAAAATATATGTATAAAACATACTTGAGAGTCTGTCTGTATTCAAAATCACTATGCAGACCATTTGTGCATCAGTTACAGCCAAGTAAAACCTTTCGAATGTGACACACATATATGTGAATATAATGAAATTTTTCATTAACCATATAGTAACAGATCCTAATGCTATGTACTGGTATATCTAAAAAAAGAAATATTGTTTTAGCTGAAAGCTCTGCTGCTAGAAGATTGAACGTAAACAAATAAATTAATTCATTAAATGTAATAAAACTCATTTAAATTCATTAATTAATTATATAACTTAGTTAAAGAATATTTTCATTAACTTATATGAAAATATTCATTAATTAAAACAATTCTATCTACTTTCATAAAAATATAGTGATATCATTAACTATTATTACTATTTTATTAATTACATAATTGTTTTATTAGTTTTTGTTTTCTTCATATTTTCTTTTTTTCCGAGATTTATTTCTGTTATTGTTTTTCTTAAATTATTATTATTATTATAATAACTTATGATTACTATTGTAAATATTATAAATGTGAATGTACTTTTTTTAATTATCAATTAGTGCCTCAACGGCTTAGCCAATAGTCATGAAATTTAGTATACAAGTACAGATGGAGAATGTTATAACTATCATTTATCCTAGTCAAGTATACGAACTTGCGGACAAAATCTATTATTATTAAATTTCGTTTTTGACACTTACTGAACTTTTTGACATATTTTCACACAGAAGTATCATTTTATAAATGTACAAAAGAGTGTGAATAAGAAGAACACATGTCTTGTAAAATATCTGAAAAGGTAAAAACGTTGGAATAAGTTTTAATTTGTGAATTATATATTTTAATTATATTTAATTATATAATCATGATCTCACCAGTAGTTGATAAACTTTTTTAATTAAATTATACGCCTGAATTATTTGTGTATATATCGAAAACATTTTATGCCAATATTTATATTCATTACTGCTGGACATTTTTGTATGTGACTTTATTTTTGATGACCACAAATTTAATTCAAATAATAAGAACGACATTGTTTGTGTTATATAAATGGGTATGAAATCAAAAATTATCAACATATACAAAGATATTGTTTCGAATATGCTTATGATACCAAAATAACAATTCACTAATATAGGCGTATATATAATTAGTAGAACTGTTATATGTAACCAATTTAGAATTGTGAATTTTTTTACTATCAAATTATCATGTGACAGTGCTGCGTTGACATTTTGCAATGTCAATATCAAATTGACATTGTTAACACTATGTATTGTATAAAGTGAGAAGACAATAATGTACCCTATACCGTAAATAATAAAATCTATACATCTCGCCGTATACTTGGACTTATCTTCTTCTATGGTGATCTGTAGAAAGCGTATTAAATACACTAAAATGTAAACTATAGTAGCATTAAACGATATGATATTTAACACGATGCCAGTTGGTGTTATAAAATTATCTTTAATATAATACTTTGGTAAAAGTAATATATTTTGAAATATATCCAACGGTAGGAGCATGGCTTGAAAGTTTTTACTCAAAAAATTATTGAGAAGAATTTCGGAACTTGTTATTGAATATGAGTTGATAATCATTCTTATGTTTT